AACAACAAAAACAAGTGAACAAACAAACAAACAAACAAAAACAAGGCTACCCAGGACTATGTTTAAACATAAAGAATACCAGACCAATGGCAACATGCACAGCAACCAGCTTTAGAATTCACAATGAAGATACTGAAATGATAGATAGTTGACTCTAAAAGGCAGAAGCTATCAACAGGATAGGAATCAGCAATCAAGAAATATGCTGTAAACTAGCACTAGGTAAGGTAGTAATGAAAAATATATTCAGATGCTGGGATGTATCTACATCTCCAAAGATCAGAAATGTGCAGACAATGGTTTTCCTTGTGAACTTCACATAACAAACGGGAACTTGGAAGAAGCAGGATAGAAGGAGTATTGACATTTTTTCACTTTAGTGTTGGAGAAGCCTTCTGAGAATACCATGCATATCCAAGAAAACAAACAAATGAATCATTGAAAAACTCAGTTGAACATTCTCAGTTGAGGCACAAATGACCAGGCTCAGATTAACAAATTTTCAACACATTATGCAAAGTCATGGCTTTCTGAAGCAATCTATAATGCTGGAAAAAGTGGAAGGAAGAAGAAAATAGAAGATGACCAGCAACAGGATAGATGGACTCAGGTACAGCTGAGACCTGAAGCACCAGATTAGAGACTGATCGTCCTAGAGAAAATATATCTATGGTTTTGCTAAGAATGAATACCAGGATATCCCATAAGCAATCAAACTCCAAACTTTATTGGAGAACTAGGTATTTGTTTATTCTTCCATTGAATCTATGAGCCATATTACAAAATAACCATTTTTTACACAAGAGTGATGGAACAGCCACATAATTTCCTGGCATTTTGTAGTAGGAAGCACAAGCACTGCAAACCTTCTCTTGCAAAATAGGAGAAAAATATGAATATGTCACTTCACTTAGAAACAAAGCATGTTTCAGTTGAATTTGCATGACCAATTTTCCCATTGTGATTCCCACCACAAAGACATGTAGGTACAGCTTCTATGCAGTAAAAAGCTTGCTAACCACTAAGTTTCAGGACATCGGGGGGTGGGAGAGAGAGACTGGCCCAAAGTCACCCAGCCGGCCTTCATGCTTAAAGTGGGACTGGAACTCACCCTCTCCTGGTTTCTAGCCTGGAGCCTTAACCAGTAGACCAACTGGCTCAATGAACTCTGAAAAATCCTTATGTCATCATTCTCTCATTATTTGAAGAAGAACCCAAGCCCTTATTTCTAAATACAACTGTACAATATCCTGCACGAATAGCAAATAAATAAATAAATAATTTTTTACAAAATCTCAGTTGAAGCATTTAAATTTCCATAACATGAATAATTTTTATTGTCATATTTAAGGTTCAGCTATTTTGATATAACCTTTTTCATTATTCAGCCTGCAAGTTACCCCCCCCCCCCCAACAATTAAAATAATGCAGACTCTAGGGCAATAATCTAAGGAGTTTTAAAAAAAAAATCACTCTACAGTGGGTTTTTTATGCTCCCAATTGAGACAGTCTTTTAAAAAAATATCTGGGGAAATAGCAAGTGTACTT